AATTATTTACAAGAAAATATCAGGGGGTTGTTTTATTTGATGCTCTACCTGTACTGAATCCATTCTAAACAGAGCATGAAAAAATACACATAAATGGCCAAAGGTACCAAACATTTGTGTAAAGGGAACCACGGCATATAAGTGACCTTAAAAAGCAATTTTACTAATATAAGGTAATCATAATAGATATGAGGGTAGGAATAGACTTCATGGGTCACCTAGTCCATTCCCCTTATGCAATGACAGAATATTGATGATATCTAGAAATGAATTACATTTTAATTGCATATTCTGGATAAGTACTTATAGTGAATCTAGTTCAGACATCTTGGGGAACTTCATATGCACATTGCACTGTAGAAAGAGGCAATTTGCATGCAACATGTGAGCTAAAAAATAAACTGTGCACATTCCTCAATTGTTAAAAGTAACCAAAAAGACCCCAAGATTCAACTCCATTTGTCAAATAGTCATATATTTGCAAAATGCATATACAGTAGATTGGATTTTGGTGCAGTGTGTGCTCATGCAAGAGGAAATTTAAAAGGAGCTGTCGCAAGAAGCTGAATTTAGAAGTTGGCTTATGTTAGGGTGTGCTTAAAAACTGTATGCATTATCAAAGTCTTTACAGATATAAAGCAATAAAGCTAAAAACTGGCTCCTTGAAGCCTTTTGCTGAAAGCCAGGAATTTTTGTATTTCTGTCTGCATGTGAATTGTAGAATGAGTATGAAAGACATTCATAATGAAAAAATCTCGTCTATGCCATCCAAGCTCTGGATACTGTACAATACCATACTAGGGATGGTGTTACATAGGATGTCAGGTTATGTGACTATGCCACAGTTCAAAAAAATATTGAGCAAAATATTCTCATATGTCATTAAGCTGATGCTTATATTTGTGTAAGAAGACAGTAAGCTTCACTAATAATATCTTGTTGTATTATTTAACTGGACATTCTGGGTTTATTTTGCGGACTGGCAGTTTAAATTGAAAAACTGATAATTTTACTTATGGAGAAGTATCCATGTATGCTCTATGCAGTCGGGCAACCCTTTCCTACTATTTGATTTATGGTAACATAAACAGATACTGCATAAGACAGTAATAGTCAGTCCTTTCCCTAAAGACCTTACACTCTAAAAGAAACAGACCCTCAGGCAGATTAGTTAAAAAAAAAAAAAAAGAAGAGAGCCAAAGAGAGAATTCAATCCATTACCTGTCAGTGACATAATGCTGAATATTTGCATAATCTTGCATTCATTTTTACTTTTAAATCATTCATGTACCAGGAAAATTGCCCTGATATAGACTTATGTAGCCATATTTTAAAAAGTCCTAAAACACCTCAGAAACACTTATTAGAGGCAGAGTTGTGATGCACTTTCCTTTGGTAAGACTGGGATAAATCTGGGATTAATCAGTAAATCTTCTTACATTTGGGTGTCAAAGTAATCTTTTAGTAAAGTAAAATCTTCAATTATAAAATTCATATTAAACCTAATTACAAACCAAAGTAACTAGTACTTATACCTAGATTAATAGTAGATTGCCAGACACTTGAATACAAGCAATGCAAAGCAAGATTTTTTGAGGAAAACGTTGCCATTTCATTGCAAGCTCTTGCCCACTGACAAAGCCTCTGCCAGTCTGACTGAAACTTAGCTCCTACAGTTGTGGTGTGTGGTGTGCTCGTGGGTGAATGCAAAGTAATTAGAGCAACCTGATTCTGTTGATCATCATCCCTGCTGTCATTCAGAAATGAGCTAAGAAAAACCTAATTAATTAGATGTACATACTCTCTCCATTTTTCCTAAACACACACCTAATCTTCTGTTGCATACAGACATATAGGAACCCAATTTAGACATTCACAGTTTTGATACCTGTACCCAGCTGTGACAGCAAAGTCCGTGGCTGGCCGATTTGTGTCACAGTCCATGGACATTTTTGCCTATAAAGTTCCTGCTCGTTCTGTGTTCTGTACTGCAAAAGTTCCTGTCAACAACATAACAAACAGCCCATATAAAACCAGTACCAACAAAGATATTTTTAAACATTAAAATTAATCTTAACTGCAGTGCTAATGACAATATGGGATCTGGGCAGAGTGGTGACAATCTTATTTTAATGACACTTCAGAGATTTCCAAATTAGACTACAGGAAACAGGAAGTAGGAATAAATGAAACAAAGCCAAATGAAAGGATGAATGGGAAAAAAAATTAATACATACTTGCCAGTTCCTTAAACATTCATTCAATCAACACTTCCTGTGATTTTTAGTAGCATGGCTCTGTCTGCTCTTTTAAACTTGACTCTGTTGGGAAAGGAGCTAATTTTTTTGAGGATCGTGTTCATAGTTGAAAGGATTTAGCTGGGTGGTAGTAGCTGCATGCCAAGAGCCTCTTGCAATGCTTTTAAGATATAAAGGGAAGTACTAAGTCTTTTGGATCATCCCCATATACCTTGTTGGATCATGCATCACTACACCTCCGCAACCTACTTGTATGACTTCAGCTTCCTTTGGTGGTGTTTTTAAGCAATTTTTTCTATCAAGTCAGACGGATACTGGTTTAATACATGACAACCTCCATTCATAATGCTGATTTTTCTTTCACTTTCTCCGTTAGCACTGGATCTTCTTTCTTATTTAATCTCTGCCTCAGTGACTTACTGTTACTGCTCCAGCCCTCGGGATGTAAGACAACATTTCTGTACTTTTTCTTCATCAGTATGCCGACTCCTTTCACAGCTTGACTGAAGATACTGTTTCTCATGATTTCTTACTGCTTTTGCTGTGGCATTTTTTGGCTGTTCTATTACAAATCAGAGGAAAACACAGTGGAATACATTTGTATGACAAGTGCAGTGTTCTACAGCAACTCCGGCATCTGTTGCCAAAGTTGTATTACAGGTGACTGTCCTGTTTAGCACACTATAGCTCCCAGTCTTGAGACTTTAGATCCTTTTGTTTCACTGACTCAAGTACGGAGAAGGAAATTCCTGCATTTACATAGTTGGATGTTTGTCAAAAGTTTTAACAAGACTATGAAAAGTAAAATATAAACTAACATATTCTGATTACTGAAAACGATTGCAGTGCTGTGCAATCAAAAGATAAAGAACATTTTAAATAAAAAACCTACTGATTGGCAGATAATTACAAATGGTATGAAACATCTAATGTATTACATTCTTTGTATGGTTTGTCAGTGTCCAACCCTGGGTGTCGCTAATACTCACCTGGAAAATTATTCTTCTGCCATAATGTTAAAGTAACTTCCTGTTAGCCATGACTTCAGAGGATTATTTGCATATTTCCATCTGCATAACTGTGAATACAGTCCCACACTGTGTACACAAACCCGGTATCACCTGCTAAAAGAGAGTAAGATTTTACTTCTCTTATGGCTTGCCCTTTTCCCATACTCCACACCAGCTTGAATAGATCTACTGGAAATAAACACTAACCCCATTAAACAGAAGAGTAACCACACTGTAATTTAAAAGAGAGATGACTTAAGTAACTCTTGTGGTAATGCATGCAAAAAACAGTGTTCTGGGGCAGGCAGCACTTGAAAGAATGGGACCCTAAGTGTGTTGAGATATTGCTCTGCCTGCCTGATACCATATTAAAGAGTCTTTCTGACATTACCATGTCTCTCGTGTCACAAGTTAAAAACGTTTTCTATATGATGCTTACTTGATAGAGTTTTAATAGAATATTTATTTTGTTAAAAGTAGATTTAGTTCTTAGTAGAACTTTGTCTTTAATATTGACAATCTACCTTGTATGTTATATTGATCTCTGTTGAGATTTGATGTTGCTGAATTCTAAGAAATTTTGCAAATGAGAGAAAATGTAGGAGGTGGAGTTTATCTGTAGACTCTTAGAATAAGTGTTTAGAGCTGAAAAATACAGAAGCTGTAAGAAAAATTAAATCATATTTTTTCCAGTGAATCACCAGACAGGAAAGGAACATTAGGTACTAGAAGTTCTTTCATATAATGCTAAAATATGTGACTTGGAGAAGACCACAGATTTTAATCACAGGCTGCTCTACATTAGAGTGAAACTGCTGATTCAATATATTGAGAATAAATTCACCAGCAGTACCATAAAGTTTACTAGACTCAGTCTTGTCTTCTGATTCCCCGGAGGACATAATTGTGCATCCTAAAAAGCAGATCAGACCTGCAAGGCTAATGATGAATCAGATGGGCCTAATTCTGATTTTATGTGGAAGACAAAAGACTTACGTTCATGCAAGTTAAGAGTTAAGAATATGGTCCAGCACAATTTTGCAGTTAGTTTGTTGACAGCAGAAAAAACAGGTGTTTTTCAGAGAAACACAGCTATGGCACCAAAATTGCTACATAAACTACATAGTCTTGTCTAATTCTTTTAAAATTCTAGACCCAACTATGCATAAGCTTAGGCTGTACTAACATCAGTAAAGATACTCACAGAAGTAGGATTTTGAAGGTTAATTCTATCGGTCCAGTCCAAAAGAAAGCACCTCATTCTTCACTCTTTGAAAAAGATGCTGAGAATAATTCATTTTCCTCTTTCCTTATCTTTGTATTCACTCTGAGAGGCAAGAAACACTGCATTGTAAGCAAAATATTCAGTTGTGACTAAAAAGAAATACTTTTTCTTATTTTCAGTTAAAATAAAAAAAAAAGACCCAAAAAAGAAGGTAAGAAAAACACATTTATAATTCATCAGAAATAATGCTGACTGTCAAATACTAAGTCATTTTCATGCAGTTTGCACAGAGATAAATGTGAGGAAAAGGAGAAGAATATATGTTGCATTTGACGCACTATATAATATATACACACACAAAGTTTATTGTAACAGCCCTTTCATCTGATGCTTGTAGAACTGAAATTTGTCATTTACCTTCTCCTTAAGAGAGGAGAATGCTCTCTAAATGGAGTCCAAAAATCCATGAGAGAGATCCTGTTCTTTAGCAGGATCACTCCTTCAGCAGTCTGAGGCCCCCAGACTCATCCACCTTGCATTGTATTCCTGCAAGAAAACAGGATGAGTGTGAACTGATGCTTTTCAAGGCTGCTTTTTATTAAAGTGTTTTGACTCACTGGAAGATCAGCACTGAAACTGGGAAGTGGCTGGTCAGTGATGTTCTGACCCGCTCTCTCGCAGTGATCTTGCCCATAGATGTCCAGGGCACATGAGGGGAGAAGGTGTGGTAAAGCCATCGCTCTCCCCGTGTGCATTTGCTGAACAGGAAATACCACACGCCTTTCAGAGCATGGGCACCACACCTTCACCCCTTCACAGTTCAGAAGGGTAAAAGTTTGGGGATTTTCAAAGGTATAATGTTGCTTTGTGCTATAAATTCCCTATCTGTACACTTTAAAAAAATCAAAAGTGGCTTGATATTCCAAATACTGGTGGTTCCATGAGCAGGGAGTTAACGAAGCGTTTTAGTCTTTCTCTCTTCCTCTTTCTCAGTTCCCTACTGTTGAATATAAGGTGAGCATATGAGCCTTTCTTTCAGCAAGGTATCCAGCAGTTGCTTTCCTCTGTCTGGACACTGATTTACACAAAGCATATAGGAATTTAACATTTTGGATAGATGAACTTCCTGTTGAAATAATCTGACTCTGACCAGTGGATTCAGAAGTTCCTGAAGGAGGAGGTACACACACACACGGGCACACTCCAGGTATAATTGCACCCTTATAACAGCCTCTTTGCATGCTTCAAAGGAGCAGGAAAAGGCATACACTGAAGTATTTCTGTATTTCCTTCCATTTTTAAATCAAGACAAACATAAAATGCTACCAGACTTGGACAGATTTTATATTCCCTTCACAATCATTTACCCCAACATTGGCTTGTAAAGATCACTCCCTGCCTTCACATAGAAATTTTATATTACACACAGGTTTCTAGTAAAGAGCTGGAACAACCATAGTTAATATTAAAACATTTCTTCTTGAACTTTGTAGCATTTTATTACTGATGTTATAGGTAGTAATCAGATTTTATTAGGGCATTCACTGATTCCGAAAGTTACGTGCATTCACTTCAAAAACCACATTGGCTGTTACGTGCTGCTTTTTGACAGTAGCCTTCCACAGGAGGTTTCCCACTGTTAGCAGCAACTCATCTGGAGAGTCCAAATCCTCCCCTATCTGTATAATGATTTGGAAACCATGCATGCATTCACAAGTAAAAAATAGCCTCTGGAGTGCACTTGTCTTATCAAACTTTGATTTGGGGTGATTTGCATCACTATGGCATAAGAAAATGGAGTAACAACTCAAACTATATGTCTGCAATGACTTGTGAGTGATCTCCTAACTGCATTTGAAAGAAAGTTCAACCATTGCTTGAACCTGTATGCTTCAGGCTGAACAGTTCAGACAGATGTTTAATCACTTCATATTCACTAGGAAATGGCTATTCAATGGCCGTAGAATTTAAAAGTGGCACTATGAGATGAGTGCTTCATGTTATTTTCTATATTTGCATTCCCTTCTGGAAGCATAAGTAAAAACAATTCAGCTGAATCCAGCACAGTTTTATCACATAAATTTCAATTACCATATTTTTTTAAAAATCATTAGATACCCTTTTAAATTTTTAGTAGCAGAAAAGCCCAAAGCTATAGTGGCAAGTTGATGCAAATGAACAGAGATGAAAAAGGATTCTCCAGCTTCTGAGTAAGTGAGGTATAGACTGGGTAAAATTTACCCACACTGAGCGCAGTGTTTAACTGAATCTGCAGTAATAATTATAAGGAAAATATTTAACTTAGAGCAACACAAAAAAACCATGACCCTGAAATTTTTAACAGGTAATTCATCAAGTGTCAGGCTGAAAATACCCCTTCAGAAGAAAAATTATAATAAATTTGCAGTTGTTGGTTACAGTATGCTAAATATTGTGAAACATTTTCCTAAAAGAAAGACACAGTGTGGTTTTGATAAGATTAAGGTGCATTTCAGCAAAGCATACACATTTTTCTTCATTTTACTGTTTGGCAATTTCAGTGTTGTTCTTCAGAGAAAACAAAAGTTTATAATGATTAACGTTCTGTGCTGTGGGAAGCATACATTCTACAACAATACTACTCTTGTGTCACACTAGCCTCCCTCATCTATAACATCAGCACAAATAGTTTTTCAGATGAGTAACCAGCATTTCTGAGATAAGTCCTTCCTACAATTGATAAGGTGTGATTGTGTATTTCAGTGTCAACAGAGGCCTCAGCAAGACTGACAAACTTCCATGGAGTCCTGTGTCAAAAGCTCAGGGCCCAGATGAGTGGGAGTCCAGGGTTTAGCAGACAAATGTGACGCCACCATTCCCAACCCCAGACCATCTTTTTGTCCTACCCAGACACAGCGTGCCACCATAGTACTCAGGATTAGATCTTTATACATCAAACTGAGAGTCTGTTTCCTTTACTCCTGGAAATATTCTATGTGGCCTGCACTACACTGGCAAGATAAACTATGCAAACTAGTAGGTGCATCTAAATGTATTCCCATGCATGCCTGTTTTTTAATCCTTGTTAGTGGAGAACTCAGAAAAAAGTGATTTAAAGTTACCTTATAATTCCAGCTGGCAGTGAAGGAACTCGGGCATGCCGCCGTGGAATTCTGTGTTCAAACCTGTATTTAGATATTTAACAGAATCAAATTTATTGTGCAGATGAGCAATACCACACCTGTGCTGATAACAACTGCCATCCTCTGCTTCTCTAACAAAGTACTTGCTCCTTCTCTGCCCCAGCAGCATCACTTACTGTCACACAAACCCTTAAATTCTGCATGTCATCATCCTCGCACTCAAGGTTTTACCCACATCCAGCTCCCCTTATGTCTTCTCACACCACACTGCCTCCCCGTTCCCCTCATTTAAGGCTTCCTCCTAAGCACTCTCTTTGCTTCCCTTGTCAGTTAACAGTGTGATGTTTTTCTTATTTCATACTCATAGCATTATTACTCTTTCATGCCACCCCGAATGCTGGAAATGATCTCCTATTTCTTTTGAGTCACACATCCTCCCTTACCTTCTTCCACATCTTTCTTTAAAAGGCATTTCTTCAGCAACAACTTCCAGTTACATTGTCCTCACCGGTGTGTCTTCATCTGAATGCTAATGGCCAGAAAGGACCTAAACTTAACCATGTGGGCACAGCATTCACTTATGCTTTTGCTTGAGGGTAGATAGCTGTCAAATGGGCATCCTGTTTGACAACTTGCTTAGGTAAGACATGGGTTACATTAATCCTTGTGTCGGTGTTCTCTTATGGCAGGGAGCAGTTGCAGATCTGGGGAGTGTTCTTGCAGCAGGCAGTTCTTGGCCATACAATGTTTAATTTATAAGCATTCTCAGTAGTTGGGACAACAGGCAATTTTTTTTTGTTGGTGTTAAAACACTGATAGTACTCTTAAAGAGCTCTACAAACTGAAAAACATCAACATTTAGTCAGCACAAGTTTTTGAGCTTGTTTGAATTCAATATATACCGCAATTGAAAAATTTGTTGATTATGGATAGTCCCAGGCTGGAGCTAAGTTATCTTGGTGACAGAATCTTATCTTTGCTCCTGCTTCCCCTGGTAATGGCAGAGCAGCACGCTCCAGCTTTGGAGTCAGGAGACTGAAGTCCACAAGAGGCTTTTTCTGCAGAAGATTTTCCTCTTCAGAACTGAAGATCAGTTCTGAACTTCAGGATCAGTTCAGGGCACATTCAGTTGAATGCATGCAGTTATTCTGGTGAAAGGCTGACTTTTTCATTTTGCCAGAGAATGCACTTTCTGCAACTCATTTATCAACGTGCCATGGAAACACAAACGTGTTTGTGTATTGGCTGAAGTTACACACATCATAAACTTTACCACCTCATTCTAACATGCAGAGTGATGCGTTACCATTTTTGTTCAATGTGATCTATGTTGTTTTCTGTTTTTCATGTTGTTTGCGTTATCGAGATATAAAGTGTGTGGTTTTCTGCATCTGCATGTCTTTCAGAAGTAGGCTGGAACTGGTCACTTGCCATACATTTTAGTGATCAGTGATCCTCCTTAAAGTCATGTCTCTTTCTTCCTAGTACGAAATGGGAAGCATTCTTCTGCCCCATCAGTTTTCTTAAAATGGCAAAAGCAGCTGGATCTGATAATCTTCTGCAGGCCACACTGTGTTTGGGATGTGTATTGTGCTTTTTGTGCTATCCATTTTTATAGGCGTTCACTGGTTAAACTGCAGTGAATACAGAGGAGCAGATTTTGTGAACCACTAGCAGATGTTCACTGTTGCTAGTTTTATGAGTCTTGTAGAACAGCAGGAACAGACTATGTGCAAAACAATTTTGTTGTGATTTTGCCATCTCACACTGTTTTCACAGCACTGGCGCGGTAATGATATGATAAAGCTTGGGAGGTAAGCTTTGATTGCAGACTAGCTGCTGTTGGGATCTTCAGAAAGCCAGACCTGTAAAGTGTAGTTTGTTTTCAAAAGCCTGTGGCTGAGACAGATGGGTTAGCTGGAAATATGTCATTTATAGCAGAGTCAAATGCTTGACCTCTTATTCAGGTATAAGTTGTTATGACATAGATGCTGAATGTTTAAACTGTCTCACAGTTTGTTTCCTTCAGATGTAAGCTGTGATAGCTTTGTGTGAAATGTTAATTTTGGATGACTGGTGTGTTCACATGATTTATTTGATTTTTGTGATTTTTCCAACACGTTTTTGGTCAGAGGAGAAAATTATCATGGAACAGCTTCACATAAAAAGCAAGAATAATAGAATCTGTAAATTTCAAACATATTTTTCAAATAATTAATTGAAACCTGGCCAAAGTGCATCAATGTGGTAATTTACCGTCCTCTCTTGAGCTAACAAATCACTTGATTCAAATGGTTTTGTAGTCAAATACATGTTTATGAAGAGCAATAGATCTTTAATAGCAAATCAGTCTTGCTCTGTGATCTCTGTGGGAGAATGGGATCTGTGGCACACAGACTCTTCTGCCTTTGAAAAGTTAAGAGAAAGTTAAGATAAATGAAGGAGGCAAACAGAGATTTCAATATTTCAGATGTTAAAGTCCAAGCTATATGGCAAGTAACTAGAAAGAGAGAGAGCATCATCACAGATGATGCTACAAAAATCTATAAGTAACAAATGTCACTTCCTTCTCTATCACACAACCAGAAAACAAGCTTGAAATAATAAAGTTCAGAAATGCATTAGGTCTTACTGAAAAAACTTGAAAACATCTACTGCATTATCTAGTTCAGCTCATGCAGGATTACTCCTTGTAATGTGGTTTCCTGTGTATTACAAAATCTGTTTCTAAAGGAATTGAAACTAGAACCCCTGAAAAGTAGTTTTAATAGTTTCATGTCTCAGAAATTCTAGATATTGCTCCACTTTAAATATGCTAATTTATTTTTTACTTCTTCTGATTTATAGCATTTTTAATCTGTTCAGCAATTACTGCCTATGAAGATTCTTAGAGTCCTTTCAACTATATACATGCTATGACCACACTAAATTGTAGCAAGCATCTCTCAACTCTTTCAGGGCACACATCTGAAGTCAAAGACTTTGTTTCATTTTGAAAAGAAGTCAGTAAGATCAGTAAGAATAGGTCCAGAGGATATTGATCCTTACAATGACTTAATTTAATAATCTGCCTTCCACTAATTTGTGATTTTTTCCCTCCCATTTCCATGGAAATCCTAATTATTTTTCATTCTCTAAATGAATAAAAGTGAATGCAATCCAGTTGTAATTGGAGTCATTTTAGGGACATATTTCATGGTTCTCCAGTATGTACATCCCAAATAACTTCACAAAATCTTAATGTAGATTGCTTGTGCTGAGTGCCCAGCATGTTCCTTCTGTTCCCAAATACAATCAGTGATATGTCTCACTGCTCACTACTGACTTGTGAACTGCCCTTTCTTGCCCTACCAGTGACCCTTGAAGCTGCTTAGCTTCTGTTCATGAAGTGTTATTCTCTTTTCAAACCTCCACAGCCATTTTTAGAAAGTGTTTACCTCTCTCTTCACTTTTTCCTTTTGCAAGGGACATATCTGTGACTTGGGCCTGTTGTAGCAATAATGCTCTTGAATCTGCAGATTCTTTACTATTTCCAGAAGCTGAGTTACAAAGATGGGGAGTATGGCAAAGTTCACATCAGCATTATTTCTGCTCCTCTTGTTTTGGGTGAAAATAACATCCCATTGGCATTAGCATTTCATAAATACACAATTATTATTACTTTGCATAACAGTGCCATAGTTCTGCTTTCCATTAATCTAATCAGGAGTAAAATTTCTATACACTTTATGGATAAAGGTTTCAGCAGTGTCCTGTTTATTCAGCTGAGAATAGCAATTTTGTGGGTTAATAATTCTAGGTAGCATTTCTGTTCATTCTCATGACGTTAGCCACATGCTTGAAGGAAGACTGTCTCCATATTGTGATGTAGACCTACTCCCAGAGTGATGCCACCAACGTTCATGTTTGCTTTACAGGTTGATGACCAAATGAAGTTGCTTCAGAACTGCTGGAGTGAACTCTTAATTCTAGATCACATTTACCGGCAAGTGGTACATGGGAAAGAAGGCTCCATCCTTCTGGTTACCGGGCAACAAGTGAGTATGTGGTCTTAGAGAAATATTGATGTCCTTTTTTTATAATAACTTTCAAAATAGCAGGAGTTTAACTAGGTCAGAAGCGCTCCTATGTTCCCAGAGATTCTCCACAAATAATGTAGATAAAATGACTTGTGCACTCTGCTTCTAGTCCGCTGATTACAGTTAAACTTATAAAAGCAGATATAATCATAATCACTTTGCTTTTCAAATGTACTTGTATACTTCAGTGATTGAAAAATACCAGATGAGAAATGTTTCTCAAGAAGTTGTATTTCCTTGGGGCTGAAATGGTTTCTGACAGCACCAACAACACTCCTAAACCTAATACTTTAGATTTAAGCAAGTATAGCTTATTTCGCCTTCAGAATTGTGATTTACTGAAAAGAATCACTAACAGAGTCAGAAATCTAGAGAACCTGCAGCTTACTACCTCAGAAATATCTTGGGTTTAGAGACATACACACATGTGTGAGAAACTGGGCAGCTGAGACATCTAATCACAGGGAAATTATTCAGTCCAGAGGCTATAAATGCAGATATTGTCTCAGGAGCTATCTCAGGATATGCACCCTGCAGTTTCTGCACAGCTTTCCAAGGGTTAATTTTCTTTGGGTGTCAGATACATAGATCTCCCAAAATGCAAGAGCTGTCGTCTGGCAAATATTATGAAAACAGTGAGAAAACCCAAAAGAAATAGAAAGTTTTGTCTTCCTCATACTTTCCAAAGCACAAAAAACTTGCCAGTAAAATAAGAACATTATTCCTAAGATTATTATTCTGCTTTTAACAGAAAAAAAAATCACAGTATCAAAGAGAAGCAAACTGTGCCTGGACAATATGTTTCTGACTCAAAGTGAAAACAAACAGTGGCTTATTGGTATTTAAGTAGCTGCAAACCAAACTATCTCAATTTATACACACTTGGGAAAGAGCTCCTTTTTCTGTGCCACACCGTTAGTGTCTGCATGTTGCGGAATCTCCTTACAGCTTCACGTATAATTTTAAAACTGAAGCCATTTCTTAGCACTGAGAACAAGTGTTTATAAGAATCAAAAGGAGACATAAATGCTTGAATTTATGATTAAAAGGTCTACAGTAGAAAGGAGAAATGATTGACTTTTCCAAGTAAGGAAATGGGAAAATTCAAATTCTAGCTATGGAACTGACTCCTGCACCTTCATGGAAATTCACTGGCCTGTCTCAGAGAGTAGTGTATTCCCTAATTATATGAGAAAAAATTAGTTGCATTGCTCTTGACTTATATTGATACTTTTGAGAAAATGACTGATCCCCTTTCTATTTCATCATCTACAAAAGACAGACAATTTTACCAGCAATTAGTTCATTTATCACACACAGTGCTTGCTTATTCCTGTGTTTATAAAGCTATAAGTATATTGACAGTTTTCTGTTCCTGAGAGAACTGCTA